ACTCGTGTGTAGCTCATTTGTAATGTAATTTTATAGCGTCATGTGAGCTACATGTTTGCCAATGGCACGAATAGTAGTTTGAGAGGGCTTAAAGGGCAGTAAAACAATAAAATGAAGTATAAATAGATGTATACTCTTATGAGTGTAAAGCTATTTAGGATAAACAAATGTAGTTTCATATTACAATTTGAAGTCCTTCAAGAAAAAAATGGGTGATTTAGATTTATTTTGATCTTTTATTGGTGGTTGCTAAGTCTGTCAAATTGAACAATCTTGTATAATGTTAAGGTAGAGAAAATTACAGATAAAATATAAAGTTTTAATGGAGAAAAACTTGCACGGTCTTACCCCGTCAGCATTACTAAAACTCTTAACTCTTAGTTCACCAGTCTGTATACCCTACAAATTTCATGCCTCTTTTGAAGATGTATATGGAATGTGACCCACCCTCCATCAGTAGTATTGTGCTACCTACTTTGGTGGAGGTAGTTCCTCTGATTTTCCAGTTGAATCTTCACTTTCTTGATAGGAAGAGTATCGTTAAGACTTGTTTTTTTCACATGTTCTTCGTTGACATTTTAATATTTTCTCAACAATTTATTTTCACCATATTTGCATTCAATTGTTTCATTGAAATTTTTGTTTGTTTATTGTTACCGATTATACGGTAACTTAGAATTTGTGACTCAATGTATCAACAATGCAAGTTCTCAATACGATAGACAAAGCTTCTGTTATAACTACCCTGCATCATGTTTGTTTTTATATGTTGAGGAGGTACAGGCCTTAATTTGCAGGGAGCTAAATTTGGCAGACAATTTCTTTTCAGTTTCAACCTGACAATGTCTCTGAGGATGGATACAATCAAGGAGAAGAAAATTGGTTTCACTTTTTCTGGCACCTTCTTATTTTGAAATGTTACACACTGCACCTTTACAGGAAATCTCACCTTCCATACCTTTTTTTTTACAGCTGATTAATCATGTGTGTGGTATATTTCATTTTTTCTTTTCCTACTAGCTAGTGGATGTCATTGATCAGATATTTATGCCATTAATGATAACAGAATCCTCTAACATCTCTCTAATGTTGTCTGATATCCAGACTTTTCCTTCCTTCTTAAAACCTCTGTAGCCTGTAAAAGAATTTTTAGTGTGAGATTCTAGGTTTGTGTGAGAGGAGGAAAGATTGTATCAGAATTAAAATTTTTTTTTACATTGGAAATGTATTTTGGACAGGTGCTTACCTCTGTTCACACATTTCCCACCCTTTCTCCCCACTGCCAATGTTATTCATGTTAGATCCTGCCAATTCTCGAAAGTGAGAAACAGGAAAATCAGAGGTAGTTAGCACAGTACTATTGGTGGAGGGTGGTCACATGCTATATACATGTTCGAAAGTGGTGTGAAATTTGTGGGGTATACAGACAGGTGCAGTGAGCCTTAATTGTTTTTAGCTATGTTTAGGGGCAGAAAGAAGATTGAGATAGCTTTGTGTGAGGGAGGTAAGTACCTATCAAAAATACATTTTCAGTGTAAGAAAATGTTAACGTTTGAAATTTATTTAGGATGTTTTAGAAATTGCATAAATAAAATTTGAAATTTTAGAGACAAAGAAAAGTATTTTTTTTTCTTAATGTGGAAATCACTTAGCACTCGGACAAATATATATATATAGAACTACTATCTATATTCATGAAAAAATCTCGATAAAAATACTTCATTAAAAAATCTGTATTTTTTTTTTTATTACTTCAATTTGCCAAATTTTGTTAAGATAAACAATGTATTAAAAGTTATAGTATAGAAACTATAACAAGAATAAAAGATTACAAGGTTTGTCAAATCGACTGACTTTGTTGTAAGAGAGTTAATTAAAATTATGCTAGTTTATTTAAGATTTTCTCAGGTAAAGTCATGTATGATATTGATGGTGTTCCTTATTTGTTCTATATATTCTATGAAGACTTCTAAATGACCATTCTCTGGACCAGAATAGAAAATCCAATGACACTATAAGTTCTGTCCTGAACATAAATGATTATGGTGTGTTGCTTTTAGCTTCATATACTGGTGTACTATAACCCATCAGCAACAGGGGAGGAGTCCATGCTTTTTGATGTTCATCCGCATACATGGCTAAGTGACTTAGAAGTGTGTTTTTGTATCTCTTCACCATGCTGTCAGAAGGTGGATGTGGGGCTATTATCCTGATTGGTTTAATCCCAAGAATCTGACAAATTACCACTGACTAGTCTAATTCAGAGTTCCATTTCTGAACTGAGTGAAGTTCCATAGACACACTAAATCTTGAGACAAATTTGTCAGTAATTTTTTTGCAAGAGTTTCTACTTCTTGGTTTCTGTTTCAGGCCAATGTTTTGAAATGGTCTGTCACAACCCATAATGTTTCTATTCCCAGTCTTACTCTGTGCAGAGAACTAAGCACATCAGCAACAACAAATTTCTGTTGAGTGGTGCACAAACAAAATACTAGTGTAGTTGCATGTACTATTTCTATCATGAACCTTTTCACTCACAGCAGAGCTTATATGTTTTATATAAATTCTGCACAGACTTGCAGCATCCAACAGAAGCATTCTCTTACTTGCTCTAGTTTCTTCTTAATACCCAAGTGTTCAGCTGTTGGAAGGTTCTATAGATGACAAAGTTCTTCAGAATGTAGAGACTGGGAAAGTACCAGCTGTAGTTGTGGCTTCTTTCCACTGGTATTTTCCTATTTCTGACATAGTAAGCCTTCTTATAAGCATATGGGATTCCTCTGTGCTGGTTGTTGAAATAATGTGTAAATATTTCCATGATTCTGTCCAGAGTGATATGGGATGTTAAAAGTTGTACTCCTGAAGTTTTAGAACCACCTTGCTATTTGTCTTTCTAGATTATGGAAATTCACCAGCCTTTTCAATTCTGCATGATCTATCCAGAATGTAAATTTTCATTGATACAGGGCTTAAACAACTCATAGTAGTTCCTCTTGAGTTGTACAATACCTCCTCCCTGCAGCATTCATTGCCTTGATATAGTTCTTTTTTCCAGGTTGTACTTGTGACAAACCAGATTCCACTGCCAAAATCACTGGCAGCTGTATCTAAAATGAGTGGACCTTCTGGTGTTGGGTATGTCAATACTAGAATAGTTGTCAGTTCCTCCTTCAGTTTGTTAAATGTGTTCACAATCAGCAGTCCAACAAAATTTATTTGGCTTCTAAAGTAATTTTTGTAGAGGACAAACTATGCCAAAGAAAGATTTTACAAAAATGAGGATAGTAAGAGTACAATTCAAGAAATCCTCTTACATCATGCAAGTTCTTTGCTGCTGGCTAATTCTGGAGTAAGTCAATCTTCAATGAATCTGTATACATTCCTTGTGTGCCAACTATGTGTCCCAGGAAATTCACCTGTGGCTTAACTCTAAAACAAACAAACTTCATTCATGTCTTTTGTACTTCATTTTCAACTTCATTGATGTCCTTTTGTTCTTCTTCAATCTCATTGTACATCTCCAGTAGCATTATTCATCTTGTCTACAATTAGATTTATTTTTTATTTTAACATGCGCTGTTGCTAACACAAATATGTAAACATACTGACTGATTCATTCTGCGAGCTTACTTACTTTTGCTTATTGACTGGCTTACCCATACTTATAATCTAACTTAGAATATAACAGAAAACGTGGCATCAAATCTTCTAGAAACTTCCAGGTATTTCATTTCTATGTCATTAAACCTTTTGACCTTGACATCATCATCATTATGACCCAAAGCTCCCTCTAGCAAACAAACAAATTACATTAAAAATATAGTTTATAACAAAACATTTTTATGTAAAACAGTTTAGTATTAGAAAAAGTAACTTTACCTGAAATTACTGTTCCTGAAAATATGTTTCCTCTGGAATTTCATATTTTTTACCATTATTTGTATCAAATTGATTTTAATGTTAATTTTGATTATTACAGCAATTTATACTCGGACATGTTTTAGAATCAACGTTTTGCCATTTTCTAACATTTAGTGCACATTGCGAAATAACTTCAAGATAAAATAAACAATACACTTGTTTATTTAAAAAAAAAACTTTCCACCCTTTCCAAAGAATAGCCTTGTTTTTGCTAAGAAAGTATCATCCATTTAGATTTTTTATTCATTTCATGATTTTCAATCATTTCCCTTGTCTTTTTCTGCTTAGTTTTTGTACAGGCTTTGTTGTCATCCCTTTATGATGTCACATCAAATGTTTTGACCATTTTCTAATGAAACACAGCTTTGGAAACAGCTACAAAGTTTGTTTAAATATGATTGAATAAGAGCAAGATTTAGATTTTTCAAATCATACTAGAATAATTAAAGTGGTTTTAACAGTATATATTAACTCTGGATTATTACTTTCTTCAGTAAATACACGTAAAAAATCAAAACTAGCTAAAAATAGGAAGTTTAATCTCATGAGAATAATCAGTAAATTGAATGTAAAACTTTATTGAGCCTAACTAATTGATTAGAAAATTTTACTAATCACCCAGCTCTAGATGATTTACTTAAAAAATGTAGTTATTTTTAACTTCATAATTTTGTTTAAAATAACAAAATAGAAAACGTTTCATATATTAAATAATAATAGAATAAAATACCCCCCCCTAAAAAAACGTAGTAATTTAGTGAATAAAACCTATTTTCAGCATTAATTATTTCAAATATATCTATTAGTGTGTATAAATTGCAGTTAAACACTAGGCATAATCATAAAGTTATCTGCAACAAAAAAGCAAGTCTTTAATATTGTTAGAGTATTCATTTATCATCTATGAAAATTGACCTAGGTTACTGTATTTCAATCTTTCTTCCTGTTCCTGTAGGGTTATTGTAGTTATACATTATCAAGCATTATAGTCTATGATCTTATCATTACTTAGTGCATTTTATGTTTTGTGTTAGATTGTGTGTGTTGTTGTTTATAATTGAGTTATTTAATTTTATCAGACTCCCTTGCATGTAGCAGCAGAAAATGGTCATATTTCTATAGTTAAGCTGTTAATGGAATACCAAGCTGATTTGGTAGCTAAAGATAGTGGAGGATTAACTGCCATGGATTTAGCAGAAAAGAATGAAAATCATGAGGTGATGGAAGTGCTAAAGTCAGAAGCAGGTAAGTTTAAATAAGAATATTTGTACCGGGTTTATAAGTTTAACTTTCTACACAGCATGGTTTACATACAGAACTATAATCATATAAGATTGATTGAGAAGGAAATATTTAAGTCAGAGTATATTATTTGAAATAAAAGCATGTAGGCTATTTTTCCATGTATTTACATTCTATGAACGTAAAATAGAAGCATAAAGGTAATAGGAGTGCTGATGCCAAAAGCACACACATTTAAATAAAACCATTTTGTCCTGGTTTGGGTTATTACTTTCTAAATCAGATTTGATAAAATAAAGTCCTATCATTTGATTTTTGTATGGGTAACTACCCTGTTGCTGTTAGATGTACCACGTGCCAGCTTTATTACTACATTTTCTGTCTTCTAAGTTATAAAGTGCAATGACTAGTATAAAAGTAAGCAAGTTAAGACATAATTCCATATATAGAGTTGTTTTTGTCACTGATTATTCCAAATTGTAACTTATAAACTTCTATCTTACTTTTAAAAATTTTACTTTTTTATTACTAAAATTATATCATTATGCAAGCTAAAATGCTTGTATAGGGATATAATTAATTTAGATGTTGAGCTATTTTAACTTTTACAAGGTAGTTAAGTATCTCTAAGGCTAGAACATTTTTTATGTTCTAAAATGTTTTTGAATGGCATGATTAAAATTTGGAATATGAATATTATTGAAAATATTAATATTTAATTTAAACATTAAAATAATATTCTTGGAGTCTTTGGAGGTAATACCCATTTATCTTGGCATAAAAATTGATTACTGTGTTTCAAGCCAGATAGTCTTATTGTAAATCTTTCTTTAAGGGTCATTATTGCTCTATCAACAGCCACGTGATGTTTGGTTCTGATTTCCCTTTATGCAATGCTTTAAATGTGCCACATTATTCAAAGTTCTTTACTCTCTTACCTTCTGGTCTGACGGTCCTGGTGGTTAGGGCACTCAAACTCATCACCATACATACTTTCCAGTCATGGGGACATTATTATGTGCCATTCAGTCTCTCTCTGTTCATTTGATCAAGTGTATCTCAAAAGTTGGTAGTGATTGGTGTTGACTAACCACTTTCCTTCCAATCTTTCACTTCAAAATTAGGTATGGCTATCACAGGTTTCATTCAAGTAGCTTTGCCTGAAAACTAACAATCAAACTTCCAAATTTCACATGACTTACAGAGCAAATGCCAATGGAAACACATAAGTCTTTTGAAACCATTGTTAAACCTGATGTTAAAACTTTTGTTTGGAGTCTGTTTTCACACATTTACAGTCCATTTTACATATTGAATCATTTTCTCACTTGCAGGAAGATTCCATAGCTACATTGTAAGTTCTCATTGATCAGCGTATTTGGGCCATTAAGACTGGTTTCATAGTATAAATTCTTAATCATGTGGACATTCAGTTTGTAGTACCTCTGTCTTTTTCTCATATTGATAAACAAGCTTTTTCTTTTGCCCAAGCTTTTTCACTTTTTTAACTGAGGAGCAGAGTTTGTGTTAGTCTTAGTCTTGAGGAAACTTCTGCTGGACCTTATCTTTTTGTCTCGTGCATGTGTTATTTTAAATATTGAACCATTTTCTCAAATGCCTGATTGTGCTAGTATAAAGTTAGATTATTTTGTACTTGAATCTTTGTATCTTCCACCTCATGATATTTATTTTATGCATTCAGAAAGTAGCAGAATGCTAACATTTTTCACATTCATCTTGCAGCTAGCTTTTCTATAGGACATCTTCTACAACAAAATCTTCTTCAGAAGTTCTGGATGCCCAGACAGTTTTTTGTGGGGATATTCCATATGGTCATCTCTGTCTTCTCTTCAATTTTCTTCTCTGCATACTAGGATTTGATTCCTTCTGAGACTTTTTTCAGAGCAAGTGTTGGTTATCATGTACCCTTGTTCACACAATTCATTCAATTAGATCCAATTTTCAACTTTTTGGTCTCCACTGATTTAGTATATCTTGCTTAGTTGTGCTGTTTCTGAGACGGTATCTCACATCTACATACAGAATAGCTAGATCCCTCATAGATCTGCTTATGAGGCTTGCATGCCACTAGCTTTGAGTGAACTCCTTCATAAAAATCAAATGTTTAATGTGAACTCCACTAATGCATATGATGTCATCATGTGATGATATCTCTCCACCAATAAGTAAGATTTGCAGTAGTTAATGTAACTTAAAAATTTCATCCAGCTTTAACTGGCTTCTTTCATTACTGAAAAAAAAAAATTGTTTTTCTTGCTTATCCATTATGAATTTTAATGTGAACTCCACTAATGCATATGATGTCATCATGTGATGATATCTCTCCACCAATAAGTAAGATTTGCAGTAGTTAATGTGACTTAAAAATTTCATCCAGCTTTAACTGGCTTCTTTCATTACTGAAAAAAAAATTGTTTTTCTTGCTTATCCATTATGAATTTTCAAGTGAGGGTAACCTCTATTTTGTCGTGTGGTGGTAACAATGCTACTAACACAAGATCTGTGACTACTGGAGGTTCATTGTCTGTGGAGCATGTGACAGCCATTGTTTGGTGTGTTGTGGGTTTTCTCACTAGTTCTCCTCTATTTGATTAGCATTACTTCTCAGATAGAACATGACTAAGATGGTGATGATTTTGACTGTCTGTTTCCCTCACTAGGGTTTGCTCTAGGTACTGCTTTATATGTGGAAGAAAATTCTCAACCTTATAATCTCTTGACATGATTTCACAGATATATTCTTTTTTCTTTTTCTCCACTGTCATTTGATTCCTTCTGTTCTTTTCTCGAGAAACCCATTTTTTAAGATTACTTCATCTTCTCTCCTTTGTCTTGATATTAGGGTTCCTGCTGACTTGTTTCTTGAACAACAGCACACCCATACTCACATGCCTTCTCGACTCTTTTGTCCTGGCTTATAGCCATTCTTCATTTCCTTTCCTCGATTTCCAATGTTTGAAATCTTTTTTGCCTGCATGAAGGGGCAAATCAGATAACTTATTTCAATTTCTTGTGCCCAGCTTTCATACCTCCATCTCTTTTATTTATCACCCTCTTATGTTACCTCTTGTTCTTTCACCTTATTTCTGAGGCATTACATCTTGATCTGGAAGGGTTTTGTGGAGAGGTTTGTTCTCTCCTTTTTACCACTTTAGCCAGTGCTACTACTACTGCTCTATCTCTCCTTAACTGGTTCCTCTGCCATTGGGACTTGTGGGGTTGATATTTTCTTCTAACTAATGTTTTCTTGTCTCATTCTTATCTCCATAATCATCATCAGTCCCTTTTCTTTATCTACTCTCTAATAATTACTCTTGTTGTCTCTTAACTGGTTTGAAGTTGTCCTACAATTCTGGATGGAGGTTTTCTCTTCTGTACAGTGGTTCTTTTCACTTGGTCTGTGGATGGCCGAGGTTGATGTATTGGACACTTTTTTTTACATATTCTGATTGCCCCATCCTTCAGACATTCACCTTGTTTTGTCTATCAGAATCGAATCTCTAGTTTCATGCACTTTCTTTTGACATTGTCCACCTGCCACTCACTTCCTCCAGGCTATCCTACTGTGATCCACCTATCATCCTTTTTCACATGGTTGTTTGACCATGTATAGTTGGTCTCCACTATAGCTGGATATTAGGTGACTTAGTCAACTATATTTAGCCTTTCTCATTACTACCAGGTATTTCCTTCCCCTGTCCTGTCCACTTTGTTCTGGTCCTTCCTTTTTTTCACCAACCCCCATATCTGAGTGGAACCTTAATGTGGTTTTACATGCTATCACATGTGCTCTATTTGAGCTGTTGGCTTCTTTTTCTTTATATCATCTTTCCCTGAAAACATACTTTCTTCTCACTCATGGTCCCCGCTGTTCAAATGTATATGCCAATGATGCGTCCTGCACTCTCTTTCACTGTACTTATGTACTCATCTACCCAGACCAGGCTTTTCTTCCCAAGATCTTGAGTACTCAGGAAGGTGATCATTCTTTCTCTCCTATCTCCCTCTCTTCTATATCTCCTCCAGGCTTTTTTCACATTTCATCACATCAGATTCATCAACTGTTTCCTTCTATTTTCTCTCATTTTTGCTAACTCTTGTATGAGATCCTTCAGGCTGATATGTGAATGAATCCACATACAGTTGTCTTTATCATCTGGCTATATCTTCTCCTACAGGATTTTGCCTTCCTCCAATCACCTGTCTTTAATCTACACACCATCTTTGAGAAGGGTAAATACACTTGCTTTTTTTATCACCCACTTCTGTCTTACAAAATTCCACCAGATTGCTGTGTTGTTTCCCAGGGTATGTTTATTTCCCAAAATCTATATCAGGCCAGGGATAACAAAAAAAAGTGCTCAACCCATCAGTCCTACCTCATCCAGTGCCTACTGTTAAGTTGAGGTGTTCCACAAAACCACTAGAAGTTATCCTTGTTAGATTAAACTTACTCATTATCTGATACAGACCATACCATTCCATGAACTATCATTAAAAAAGCCAGAACTAAGGAAATGACTGCTCACTTCTCTGGCTTGTGCTTGCTGGCTTTTAAAAATAGGGTTTTACGGTTACCTATTGTACAATTTCCAGTAACAGACTTTTCTGACAGTTGTCTGATAGAGCTCGGGGTCTCTTCAGTGGGAATTCTCACCTTATTTTTCAAATGGAGGTAGGAAACTTTTACCACTTACCAGTTCCTAGCCAATGAGAGTGGCAGTACTTGGAGAGTTCCTTACTGATTGGCCAGGTGGTTAAGGTGCTCGACTCTCAATCTACGGGTCATGGAATCGAATCCCCATCTCACCAAACATGCTCACCCTTTCAGCCGTGGGGGTGCCTATAATGTGACAGTCAATCCCACTATTCGTTGGTAAAGGAGTAGCTCAGGAGTTGGTGTTGAGTGGTGATGACTAGCTGTTTTCCCTCAAGTCTTTCACTGCTAAATTAGGGATGGTTAGCACAGATAGCCCTTGTGT